TCCACTATCCAATATTCATTCCCTCCAACATTCACTGAGCAGTCGCTGCCCTGGAATAGTGCAAGGTGCTAGAGAGACAGTGGTGGCAACATGAAGACTGTAGAATAAATTGGACTTAAATTAGTGTTGTGTCAATTACAGCCCATTTCAAAATTTGCTTTCTAAAATTATACAGTATAAAATGTAGTATCTGATCTTTGATTTTGTCTTTCAGTTTGAACTCAGAAAAGCTAAGGAAATTTATTTCTTCAGACTTTTATACTAGGAAAATTTTAAGCAGTAAATATTTTTGAATCACAGTTTTCCATAAAGAACCCATGCTCATTTCAAGATAAGATACAGGGAATCCAATTTTAGGATTGAGAGAGTATTGAAAATGACAGTGACAAACAGATAATCATGCAAATCTTTGATGAAATGAACCTTTTGCCCACTTTAAAGGCATTACCTGAAAATTTGGCAAGTAAATTGCAATGATCAGAGTTATTCATATTCAAATTCATAGCCATGTCTACTTATGGCATTGATTGCCCCAGATATGCTAGTGTTGTAAAAAAGACATTAAGACTAATTTTTAAATATTTAAAACACTGTTTTCACTAGAGAACTATGGCATTTCCAATTTTCAAAAATACTTTTTTGATTTGAAGCTAGTTCTTACAATGGAAGCTAACGTTGATTGAAGACTTGATGTCACATCATAGTTTTGCTTTCTCCTTGAGGCAGACTTCTCCCAATGCAGTAACCATAATCACTTATGTCAGTCCTCTGGAAGGAGCAATCACATCAAGATATGTGGCTCCTGTCAATCAGTGCTTCTCCCTCACCTCCCTTCCTTCCTCTGCCCATTCTTGCTCCCTGCATCTTTCTTCCTTATCACTTCCCCCCTTCTCTGCTTCTCTTTTTGAGGGGGAGGTGGGATAGAGAGTCTACCCTGACAGGTCCATTCTATCAAAGGAATTTCTAAGATCACAGAGTTTTTATAAAGGAAGGGACAGACTTAAAGATAATGCTTTCAGTGCCAAAAAAGAACCCAAACAAAATAAAAACAAGCCCAAAAACTCTCTAAGGTGTTCTTAATAGATAGATAATCATTCAACCAGAGCACAAAGCACAATTTTTCATTTTAGGTTATATTTTTGTTCTAAATCTACTTCCATCTGGAAGCAATCACATGGTGTTGTGAACTCAGAGTTAGAAACTATGAAAACTAAAATCTAGGCCTGTATTTTCTTCTAACATGTGATATGATTTGAGCCAGTGGATTAACATCTTTTGGTTTCAATATCCTTATTTGTAAAACAGATTTCTCATTTACTGTACCTATTTCCCATAGCTTGTTTCATAGGAGACATAAACCACTTTGTAAGACATTCACATACAAATAGGTTAGAAGATTTACAACCTCTTTGTCAACCTTCAAAGGGTGGGGTGGTGTTTGCTAAACCATTTTAACTTTGATAGTACTCTAGAAGCATTTGAACCCCATTACTGTAAATTAGCATTTAGACCAACTTTAGCCAAAGCCTGCCCTATATAGATCCATAGATTCCTGAGAAATACAGAAGTAATTCTGATTGCTGGCTTATTAGAATATTCTTTCTATTTATGGTAATGTCAAAAGAGATACATTTAAATACATATCCTCATTCTAAAAGTAGGGCACTGTAATTTATAATTATTTCCAAAAAATTTTATTTCTTACCTTGTTATCATTCTTCCCAAGGTGATTCTTTATTATGTCCTCACTAAAAATAACAAACACCAAAATATCTACAATATAAAATCAGTAAGCAGAAAACTAATGTGATCTTTTTCACTAAATATTAATCATTTTTAAGACTGAGCAGAATGTAAATGCAATAAGCTATCTTCAAACTGGAATTCACCCAGCAGAGCTCCTAGGGTGCTCTGTAACAAAGGCTAGAACTTTTCAAGAAAATTACTGCAACTTGATATGGAACATATCCTTTTCCATTAGATGTTTAAAGTGTTTGTATGTATAGCCATTTAGACCTAACTTATAGTATATTTTTCTCCAAACTACAATGCAATGCTAAACTGTAAAGACTACAGAGGGGTGCCTGGGTGGCTCAGTTGACTAAGTGTCTGACTAAGGCTCAGGTCATGATCTCACAGTTTGTGAGTTCAAGCCCTGCGCTGGGTATTGACAGCTCGGAGCCTGGAGCCTGCTTCAGATTCTGTGTCTCCCCCTCTTTCTGCCCCTCCCATGCTCATGCTCTGTCTCTCTCTGTCTCTCAATAATGAATAAATGTTAAAAAAAAGAATTAAAAAAAAGACCATAGAGAAAGAATAACTAAACAATAGATAAAATAGAAGCTTCAGACTGAGCCTCAGGTTTGCCTTTTGTTATAGCAGATTCTATGCTGTGGTATAAAGAAAACCACATACATTATTCTACAAATATAGCACGATTTGTAATAGAGAAACACTTCCTGCTTGAAGATTTAATCGCACTTTTTTGTTGACCTTTACCTTTATATGTGTAATATCCTGAAATCAGGCAGAGATAGCGGAAAATGGACACCCATCTTCTTGAAGAATGATCTCTCATTCTACTCTGATAAAATATGATCAGTGACCTTGAATTCTATGAAAAACCTTTATGGGATGAATCCTTTGAGTTCTCAATGAATGGATGTTAGTGGCATTTACATGGTTATTCAAGATGAAAGGTGCTGCTAAATATCTGCCTGTGTGAGTGGCCATGGCCATGGCCATATCTATGTCTACCACAGTCAGGTAAATTGATATTAAAGAACTATGTACCTGGGCATCTGGGTGGTTCAGTCAGTTAAGCATCCAACTCTTGGTTTCGGCTCATGATTTTGTGGCTCATGAGTTCAAGCCCCACATCATTGAGCTCAATACTGAGAGTGCGGAGCCTGCTTGGAATTCTCTCTCTCTCTCCCCCTCTCTCTGCCCTCCCCTTCTTGCTCTCCTCCTCTCTCTTTAAAAATAAATAAACTTAAAAAAATTAACAACTATGTATCATTATGTAGTCAATATAGGCAGGCATAATTTTGATACTGTTTGCTAACTATCATAAATAATCCCCTATTTTTAAATTTATTTTTTATTTAAAAATTTGTGTTAAGTTTTATTTATGTTTGAGAGAAAGACAAAGCATGACCAGGGGAGGGGCAGAGAGAGAGGAAGACACAGCGTTTGACACAGGCTCCAGGCTCTGAGCAGTTAACACAGAGCCCGGCACAGGGCTCAAACCCATGAACCATGAGATCATGACCTGAGCTGAAGTCAGATGATTAACTGACTGAGCCACCCAGGTGCCCCAATAACCACCCCTTTTTTAAAGTTTACTTATTTATTTTGAAAGAGAGAGAGTGCAGAGGAGAGGCAGAAAGAAAGGGAGAGAAGGAATCCCAAGCAGGCTGTCCCAAGCAGTGCACTGTCACTGCAGAGCCCAACATGGGGCTCAAACTCACTAACTGCGAGATCATGACCAGAGCCAAAATCAAAAGTAGGATGCTTAACCAACTAAGTCACCCAGGGGCTCCATCATAACTCCCCTTTTATAATTCCAACTGAGTCATAGAGGAGGCAGCAAGTGTTCATTTTATACACGTTATTCTTGGATACTTCCTCCAACAGTAAGTAAATGGTCTAAATGCAGTACTTGGCATCACTGTTCACACACAGCAAAAGGAAGGAGAAAGAACTGAGCAGTTACCTTGTCCATAGCAAGCACCCAGCTTGGGAACACTGTCAGGGAAGGTTCTATCAAGGAGAGACCCATGTGATGTATGTATGGGAAAAAACTTCTGGTTTTACCTATTTACCGTGTGGTTGAAATTGCTTTCTCTTTGGTACTCTACTCTAGAGACTTAGATTGAAACAGACATGAATCACCAAGAGTTTTTTTCTTTTTTTTTTTGCAAGGAATTTCATGATTGGTTTTCTTTGTGTCATTTTTAGGCAATGAGCCCATCAAAATATGGATTTTTTTTCAAACAATGACATTATCCACAAGATCAGTTCTTTTTTTTTATTTTTTAATGAACATTTAAGGTTCATATACAAAAGCTAACAGAGCAATTAGTCAGTCATGAAATAAGTACAAGGAAATAAAATGGAAAATAACTCAATTACAGTTTCTCACCACTGAAGCACTACACGCTGGCTGCAGCAAGAGGTGGTCAATGTTTCAGCCAGTGAATGCATGGGCCAAATGCCAAGACTGTCATCACATAACTTTTTGTTTTAACATTTCCTTTTATTTCACTGATCATTATTCAGTTGGATGGGGAGGTGGGGGTGGGGAGAAATGTTTCTTTTCCAAAATAAAGAAAAAAAGGATTTTTTTAAGCAGTTAAATTTTTCCCTGGGGAAATATTTTATCTGTTCATCTAGCATATCATATATTTCTGTTATTAAATTTATCTGCATAAATATTTGCCTAATCTATTTCTTAATGTAATATCATGCAGTACTTTCTAATTTCAGAACAGTAAGAATTATCAAAGGCAATTAGTTTTGTACATAAATGCCCACAGTTTCCTTTTTAATGAAAAATGTGCTCTTTGTGATCTATGTTTCTTCCAAGAGAGTTGGTCAAGTAATAATCATGGAGCATTTCCTAAAATATTTATTTGCTGGGAAAATTTGTATGAAATGACATTTGAAGTATAAAAAACATTGTTAGGTAACACTTGGAACAGTTAAAAATATACTTATCTTGTTTGTAAACTATCAGTGTAAGATACTGAGTATCTGAGTGTCAGAGCCATTGTCTCCTGTTTTTCTAGAAAGTTGTTTGCTTTGTTTATCAATGTGACATCTTTGAAACATCTGACGTTATATATAGAAACATCAAGGCAATATTATTTGTACATATTATTAAACATGCAAAAATTTCCTGAAAGACAGTGCCCGAATATGGAGTCCCTCTGAGTTCAACCTCTCCTTGGTAACCATTCTGCTGGAAGTATGGCTCTCCTGGAGTTTGGGAGTGTGGTGAGTTATTTTGGAGGGGCAGCCCCTTTAATCACCGGTTCCCTATTCAAATATGTTGCCCAGTAAACTAAGTTGAAAGTGCCAAACAAGACTGGGAATACAATTCGGGACATTTTGTCAATCTTGCTGATGCTGTTGTAAGTCTTTTTGTTTTCAGAAGTTTTCTCTTCGGAAGGCTTTACTGAGGCTGAAGATGCATTTGAGGTCCCTGCCGGGGTCTGTTCCTTTGGGATGTTGGGGGGGTGGGTCATCTTCCCAGTAGTATAAGCATTTGTTGACTTACTTAGTATGAGTTCCCGCTCCTTCTTCTGCAAAATATATAATAAGACTGTAAGGGCATGCTATTTTCAGGCAATTGTCAAATCATTTCTGAAAGTTCTAAAGGTTTATCTCTCAAAAGAGAGATACAGAAACATCAGCTTAGCTCTAGGGGAGGGAAGTTCTCCACAGACTTCTAAGCCTACAACACCACATGGCCAGTCTTGAACATGAAATTCTAGAATGACAAAGTAATTCTAAATCAGAATAGTGGTTATCTTTGTTGAGGTGGAGACTATAAAGGGCTTTGTTGACTGGGAAGTGGCATAGTGAACTTTTTGGAGAACTGGTGATATTCTCTATCTCGACAGGGATTTGGCTTACACAGATGAACTCATTAAATGTATCCTTGGTATCTGTGCATTTTACACTATGCAAATTTTTCTTTGAAAGAATCAAATGGTAAACAAATATTGAACCCTTGTTAATGATATACATATATTTACATGTATATAAATATATTTAGTGGGAAATACAGTGTCCTTTAACATTTACTCTGGAATGCATAAGAGTATAAAGGCAGTTTGAGGATGAGTGAATGGATAGATAGATGAAAATTAGACAGTAATGACAGATTTTCATTGTGAAATTCTTTAAACATCACAAACATTTGTTTGCAAATGTATAAAATAAAATGCTGCAAAAAGCTGTTCCTTAATATAGTGCCATTAAATAAAATTTATTTGCGAAAACACAGGAAAGTAACTTAAAGGAAATATGTCAACCATTAAAACTATGAAAAAGATAACAAATAGGAAGGAAGCACATAGAGCAAGGAGTGAGAGGAAGTAAGTGAAAAGAGAGGAAGAATCAATATGGAACCAGATGCAGAGAGCATGGGGACATGGTGAGAGAGGCTACACCAGTCCTGGGCTACAGTAGGGACCCTCTGGCCTACTCTTCAGAAATACTACAGTTCTTTGATATATCAGTGATCATGTGCACACCCACACTGGTCTGCCAAAAGAAACTGATAAGCATAACTATGAATTTACTGCCTTGAATGGCTCCCAACTCTTGGTGTAGCCAAGAAAAGAACAGATGCTTTAGAAGATACTAATCTGTGTTGATAACATGTGTTTTACTTGGGGGAATGAGCAGTAGTACAGAATTCAGCACACTTACAATGGCTGTGGTATTCATTGAGATGTGTCCCAGTCCCCCTTCTAGGTCCACCTGCTGCTCAGCTGCAGACAGAGCAGCCAGGAGACAGCCTTCAGCTCCAAATCATTCAGGGCTGACTTCAACTTCTTCCTCTGCTGAATGTCACTTCCTCTCTGTTCTTTCATCTGTATTCATCCTTACAAAATACCTTGCACTCCAAACTCTTACATGGCATTTGCCTCTGGAGATCCCAACATGTGACAATGGTGAACACAGTCTATTTTTCAAGCTCTATACTTCTAAGTAAAAGTCAATTTACGTGAGTAGGCTAACACTATGTTTAATAATTCATGTGCATTACCCATGTCTCATAGTATGACTTGCCCACCCGAATGTCTTTAGATGCCCTGATTCTTCAACTGCACAGAACCTTTCAGGCCTAAGTGGTGGGATTCTCCAGCACTACAGCCTTTGAAGGACAACATGAAGCACTGAAGTTCTACAAGACAGTGAGGCATGCTGCTTATTCTAAAAGATCAGTGCTAATCTAGGACTAGATAAACCATGTTAGCTTCATTCCTCCCTCTCCAAAGGTCTTGCCAGCCAGATCTATGGCAAGTAGTAATAACAGTGGGGCCAAGTGTGAAAGTGGAGGCTGACAAGGATGGTGAGCCTACCTGACAACATTTTAGGGCTCTCCATTCATTCCTTCCTCCTAGATTCAGAGATGTGTGCCTGAAGGCCTCAGTTCATGCAATAAACTCCCATCTGCTCTCGTACTCATACTTGAGTATCTCCAGTCCACTGTCACATAGCCATCAAAACCCAGACCCTTAGCAATCATTTCACTTCAGGCAACACAGGGCTGGGCATTGGGAAGCCCTCTTTCCCAATTCCATTCATGCTCCTCCCCCAACAAACATCCTCCATAGCTCCTTTTGTCTTTACCATCAAGTCCAGAAGATTGGGTCAAAAATCTCTAGTTTGCCTCTACAAATGTTTTCCCAGGTCACCACCAATCCACTGTGGTCAGCTAACTCCTGTGCCCCCACTCCATCCCCAACCCCAAAAACATCCACTCCTAAGGTTGCTACTTGTCAGGGCCCTCCCTCCCATCCTATCTCCTTTGAGAGGGCCCAGCACAGACCTCACTTGGCCTTCCTCCAACCAGGCAAGCTGGACTTCAAAATGAGTTTTCCATGACTGGAATTCTGACATGGGAAAGGATACCTGGCCCTTGGAAGTGAGAAGAATCAGATGTGTCAGCTTAAGTCATAACTTCTGACTCTTACCGGAAAGAAAATAGTTGTGTTAAATGCAAAAAGCAAGCATGAGGCCACCGATGAGACACTGATGAGTGTCCTCAACAAAAAGAGACAGCCCTGGGTGGCTGTTCCTGGTTTGTGGCCCTGACTGGGAGGTCAGGCCAGACAATTCTAGTCTTCTATAATACTTTCCAGGACTCCCTTCATGCTGAATTTTCAAAGGACAGATTTTTATTTCAAGTCTACTTTGATAACTTTGATCTACTCTTCTTCAGAGCAAAGGTTTTGCTTATTTGTTTAATGCATGGTGTAATTAGCAGTTTATCAAATGCTGTTTCATTTTCTGCTCCATGTAGATTATTCTCACCTCCCCAAGGACATGGTTCAGCTTGGAATTCTGTGCAACCTTTTTTCTTCAAATATTCCTTAGATTTAGGCACAAATCACCCTCTAAATACCTGATAATTGCTTTGAACAGAGTAATGCTTTCCACAATAACTGTGCATCATTAAGTGAACCAAATCATCTCTTCCTCAGGTAGGGTTTGCTGCCTCCAGTAAGCTGCATGCTCTCCACATGCCCTTAAAGCCACCCTGCAGAAGATCTACTGTATGGTGTAGTGGCAAAAGAGAGTGATAGAGAATATACAATTCAGAACCGGACAAGTAGTCACTGAACAGACAGAAGGTATGTTAGCAAAAATAGCAGACCTATGTGTAAACAGCTCAAGCCATTCACCTGACATCAGACCTTTTGCTTGATCGAAGCTAATGATTCAAAACAAAGTTGAAATAGGACCTGTTGTAAGTAAGACTTGGTAGAGACCCTCAACACAGGGAAGGAGTCCTTTTTTTGTTGGGGGTGGGTGGGAGATAGGGAGGAGAAACACTTGTCTTATATTTGATATTTTGTACCATAAATGTTTTCTCTGGAGGAAAGGGGGAAAATGTAGTCAGTACCTTGACCTTGGCTGCTTCTGAGGCTTTTTTGCCATCCCAGGCCCAGCCTCTCTTTGTGAAATAGTTGACGGTGGCAAACTCAATCAGCGCAGAGAACACGAAAGCATAGCACACAGCTATGAACCAGTCCATGGCTGTCGCATAAGCCACTTTGGGTAGAGAGTTCCGAGCACTGATGCTGAGGGTCGTCATGGTCAGCACCGTGGTCACCCCTGTGGTGGTTGGGGACGGTGTGGGAGGGGGTGGGTAGGGAGAATGGAAACAGGGATCAGTACTGGCCCCCAGACCCCAGTATAACACCCCTGACCATAACAGATGAAGACAGGAAAGGAACTAGTTACCTTTATCAGTGAACTAGTTATCTTTACCAGACAGAACCTCCCTTTCTACAGTTTCATAACATTTAACACACTCATAGCATTTATTTGCTATTTTATTGCTTATTTTATTTACCTTATTAATTGGCTCCTTCCTCGAGAATACAAGCTGAGGAGGGTAGGGATTGGGTCCGATATATACACATACTCTGTGTCCCCATTGTCTTGAACCAAGCAAATAGCAAATAGCTCTTGTTCAACAAAGATGTGTTGAATAGGTAGTGTTCCTCTGTTCCATGGGGGCAATACCCAATGGAGAACAGGTAATGACATTCACATAGCATCTGGTGAAGTGTTTCACAAAAATTTGCTAGGCACCCTATGAATAGTGGACTCAAGGCAACCTGAAGAGACAAACCTACTTTTACATGTATTAACCCAACTTGCAGACCTTGAGGAACTGAGAAGCTGAGTGCAGTAGAAGCACCATGTCTGAATCTGAGTCTCAGTACTTTCCTCCATCCAAGAGGGATCAATGTCCCCTAAAAGCCACTGTGCAGGGTGTCTGTGGCCAGTCTGCCTTGGCTTCTGTGGAAACATTGCAGTGATCATGCAGCAAGGCCAGATACGTGGAGGGGAACGTTCAGGACTGGCAGATTACAAGCCATCTATATAGCATCCACTAAGTGCCAGATTGATTTAAGCTACATTCTGGATGGGTGTAATTATCCCCATTCACAGGTGACATGTTTAAAGATTTAAAAATACTTAGCAATGTAACCCATTTCGCTAGCTGACAACTGAGAACCCATATTCAGACCAGGATCTGCAGGACCCTTAGAGCCCACACAACTTCCACATGCTCTGTGTCTTCCTCCTCACCACAGTTTTGTTTGCACAAGGGTGCACTTGTGTGCATAGGGTGTGGGCACAATGCACCTGCTATGGGTTGGATTGTGTTTGCCCAAAATTCATATGTTGAAGTCCTAACCTCCAGAACTTCAGAATGTAAACTAACTTGGAAATATAGCCTTTACAGAAATAATCAGGTTAAAATGAGATTGTTAAGGCAGGCCCTGATGCAACATGACAGGTGTCACAGACATGAACACAGGAAGAATACTGAGTAAAGACTGGAATTCTCTGTCACAAGCCAGGAAACTGCCAGAAACAAGGAGAGAGGCCTGAAATAGACCCTTCCCTCACAACCCTCAGAAGGAACACGCTTTGCTGACCTGTTGATTTTGACTTGTAGCCTCCAGATCTGAGACAATTAATTTCTGTTGTTAAAGCCACTCAGGGCATGGTACTCTGTTATATAACCTTAGGAAACCAGTACAGCACCAAGTGCATAATGTCACTGGTGGTCACAGCAGCTTAGTTTTCATCCAATGTCATCCCTCAAAGGTATTTATATGTCCTTATTGAACATGGTACCATGTGTGGAATTAATAGAAATCCACTATTCTTAATAGAATAGAATCCACTTAATTCTTAATAGAATCAAGAGAAATCACTATTAATATTAATAAATTAAATGTTAATTATTAAATAGTAGGCATCTTTGATTTTTCTTAGAAATCCACTTAATCATTGTACTTGGAAAGTGTTCTGGCATGACCTTTAACAGGCTTCTTGCAACTTCTTGGGTCCTTTAACACCCTAATGTGCATCTGGAATCTCCAAGAAGAAACAGATGCTAATATGCAACATTGTCCAAACTATTTTTTTTTCTCAGCCACCTACTAATGTTCCCCTAAAGACCTGGAGCCATAAGTCAACCTCCACACCTCTCCGAAACATTCCTGAAGCTAGATGAAGCAGGGTAAGTGAAGCTGGCCATGTAGGTGGAGGTAGAGAGATAGCCTGACAGGAACACTCCTGGGCCACTCACTTAGAAACTCCCTGGGCTCTCAAGCTTCCCACAGAATTATGGTAGTGTTAACATAAAATGCTGGTCACGATTACCTTCTTTTCAAGGGAAAGTGCAACAGTAAGAGCTGAGGCATGAAGTATACCTTACAGTTTAGAAATATGTGAGCATCCATTACCGCAACTGACCTGCAAAACTACCTTTAGTATCACTACTGAAATGCGAGGAAGCAGAATTTCCAGGTAAGAGTCAAATGCTGAACTATGTCTGCTATGCTGAGGTACCTCCTGAACTAGATCTTGCTAAACCTCATTTATGTCTTAGGGATGTCAAATGATGTTATTCTGCTAAATGGTTATCCTATATGTGTATGTATGTGTACATGTATATATTTGTATATGTATGTTTATATATATATGTGTATTAATATATATTTATTATTTATACATGAAAATATCCATATATTCATATCATAGACACCATATGATGGTATATATGATATATAGATATGTAATTTATTATTACCATACCACATATGGTATATTGAATGCCTGTTGGGAGTTAATTTTAAAGTGGTATCACGTTTCAAAGAAAACTGCTTGATAACGTAAAAAGCAGTACTTTAGGAGAAGTGTGAAAATACTGTAGCAAAATCTCACATAAGACAGATTGCTACCAGTTTCAAACCTAAAAAAAAAAAAAAAAAAAAAAAAAAAAAAAAAAAAAAAAAAAAAAAAAACCTACCAGCTAGCGAAATGGAAACAATGATCAAATAGACCAAGTGTCATTTCCTAAAACCTTGTTAGAATGCAATCCTAAATCCTTATCCTTAACATTGAATTCTTTACTAATTGGTCTGTTTGTTTTCCAGGTCACAGAACAGACAGCACTAGTCATTCAGAGGCTGTTCTTTGGGGGTAGTTAGAAGCAGTCACAAAACACCAGTGTAGGCCTGGCTTGGGGACACTCACCAAACACTGTCCTGGCAGGGACTGATTCTCTGTTCAGCCAAAAGGACACTTGTGACAAGATCACGGTCATTATGCAGGGAAGGTAGGTCTGGATGACAAAGTACCCAATCTTCCGCTTCAGATGGAAATGAGCTGTCATGATTGTGTATTCACCTGAAAATAAACAAATTAACTCGGGCAACCACCTGTCCTACAGTCCTGCCTATGGTTCCTGCCCCTGAACCAGAGGCAGTCCAGAAGTCCCCTTCTTTCCACCTTCCCACTGGACAACTATTTGTTTGTATTGTTAGGATGAAGGAGATGAAAGAGGATGCATAGATTTCTTAGCCGTCATTCTGTAAGTCTTTTGAGCCCCAGCCTCTGAAGAGCCTTTCCTGCTGGATGTTTTTCCTGGGGAAAATCAGATTTGTGTGTTTTCCTAATCCCTGGTCACAATCTGTGCCACTCTCTGCCCACCCCCTCACTGCTACTGCCATCAGGATTTCAGGATTTAGCCTCTCCAGATATAACTCAGGACATCACAGAGCCCTGTTGCAGGTGGAGAATTGTTCTCCCTATTTCCCAGCCAGGGAAAGCTGGCAGGAGCTGGGGGAAAGCACTCCCCACAGGCTCTGCACTCCGTGACAGACCCAGGTGGAGGGTGAAGAACAGCAGTTTGAGGAGGCCACTGGTCTGGCAGCCCCTCCCTCCTGCCACCTACCAGGGGAGATCGGGGCATTTCCTTGGAGATGCCCCAGTGCCTTCTCTGGATCTGCCTGGCTGTGTGGGAGGCCAGAGGGGACCTCCCATTCATTGCTGAGAATGACGCTGCCCTGATGGTGAACTGGTAAGGAGCTGAGATGGGTTGTGGTTGGAGGGTATATAAATGGATGTCAACTGGAAAGTCTCTAATGCTAGATTCCTTTTTCTGAAAAAAATATAGTTAACATATGACGTTGTATTAGTTTCAGTTGTACCACATAGTGATTTGACAATTCTGTACATTACTTAATGCTCACCATGATAAGTGTAGTCACCATCATTCACCATATAACATAATAACAATTACTACTGTCTGTACTCTACGTTGTGCCTTTCATCTGTGTGACTGCTACCTGAATATACACCTCCCTAGGGAGATGGGGAGGCTGCTTTGAGGAGTGGAGGCAGAGTTAAGCTGATCTGAGGACAAGAGTTCTTTTGCTGAATTGCAAGGAGTAGATGGTGTGGCTGGGGAGCTGGATAGAACTGCAAAGTGGGGAGAAAGGGCTTGAGGCTGCCACTAATGCAGACCTGGGTGGGAGCCATCTGTTTGGGG